CCAGTGGCTGGAAAATGAAGCAAACACAATTCTGACTGGAAATAAGATGACCGTTTAGAAATAGGAGGGTAATAAACCACAGGGTTGTGGTGAATTCTTTCTCAAGGTTAAAATTTAAACCAAGATTGGATCATTTTCTAAAGCCCCAGCAGAATGGAGCTAAGGCCGGGACTTCGCTAGGGCCAAGATGGACGCTGCCACGATCAATCTTCTGGCATTTGATTTAGCTGGTGAGTGTCTGAATTTGACCTTCCCCTGTGGGGCAGACCTGGCTGAAGTGTGACTAGCCCAGCAGAGCCCTGGCGCGGGTTCAGACTCTCCGAGAGGGAGCCCAGGGCACATCTGTCTGTAGTCAGGACACCTGCCCACTTAGTGCGACTGGCATCTCGAGTGGGCAGATCTGGGAAGCTTGAAACACACCCAGAATTCCCAGAATCCCGCAGTGTCCGTTCGGATTTGCACGTTTTCTGCCAATCACCTGGTTCTGCTGGGATTCGGTGCCTCCCGTGGAATTCTTTACCCGCGGTTCATCGCCACCCAGCTCTTCCAAAGGGATCTCCCTCCTCCCTGGACGCTCCTGGCAGAGGCACGACGGAGGCAGCCAGGCCCAGGTTTGTCCGGGTATTTCGGGGCCTACGAGCAGACAGGCGCCGAGTGGGATTTGCAAATGCTCCTAAGCAGGCTGGCGCCCGAGGCCCACTGCAGTTAGTGAAACTGCTTCCAAATGCGGGAGTGTTTCCCCAGACACAGGTGCTGACCCCGCGGTGGGCCTGGCTGCCCTGCAGGAGCTGAGAAATGTCTGCGCTGCTGGGCCCTGGTGGAGTCAGCGACAATCCCACGTTTCCGTTGTGCTTTCCCCACCTGGCCTGAGGATTTGCCGTGCGCCGCTGGGTTGGATCCCCTGGGCCTGAGCGCTGCAGGGAAGGTTTGGGGGCCCTGGGATGCTGCACCCAGCTAAGGCTGATGGGGGAAGGTGGCTTTATAGAACCCTGGGTACTCGTCTGCCTTGGCCCAGGGCAGGGCCGGATTCTCTCCTGGGGCCCAAAATTCCACCCGCTGCCTGGGGATTTGCGATATTCTCTGTAAATTATGAGTCTGCTCCTCATCTCTGTGTTCCCTCCCCCGCACCATGCTCCCACCCCCGGGTGACTTTAGGCACCCAAATGTCAGAGACCACGGCTTGTCCCCTGCTTTTCCTCCTGCGCACTCACCAGCATTTTCACTTGGCAAACTTTGTAGCCAGTTTAAAATACCCCCACTCTCGCCAGCCCTCCCCCTGGCCCTGCCTTTCCCTCTTATGCCACAGACACACACACACACACATACAGACAGACGAATGTATGTTTAAAATACCCCAACCCTTGCCAGCCCTCCCCTGGGGACTCAACTTTCCCTCACGCACACACTCACACACACACACTCACACACACACACACACACAGACCGACTGACGCATGCACACACAGACACACACAGACACAGACACACGCAAACAGACAGGCACACACTCGCAAACACGCAGACACATGAACTCACACACAAGCATGCACACACACAGACACACTCAGACACATACACATACATGCAGACACACTCACACACACTCACACACACACGTTTCCAATATCAGCTCAGTTTGGAGCCCAAACCTGCAATGTCTCTTCAGATGGGGCAGATGTTTCCAGCCTCTGCTCAGTCCTCCCAGCTGGTGTTGTTACACCAAAATGTCGGCAGCCGCCTGGGTTCTTCTTTCCCACAGCTGCTTTATATGAACAGCTCAGGCAACTGGTCTGCAAATGAACCAGCCAGGGATCCAACTTTCTCAGTGAAGGCAGCAGAATGAGCTGCTGCCCGGACTGAGAAACGCTTTGTGCTGAAGAGAGAAGTCTGATTGTACAGGAAGTGGCTTTGTGCAAGTAATGGCTGAAAACCCAGCCAGACTCATGTTCCCTGGTACAATCCCAGCTTTCGGCCCTGAGCATGGGACATGTGTGCAAAACGTGACTCCTGGTGCTGACTCCCTTTGTGGCTGTTGCTGTTATTGTGTGTTTGCCCACAGGGATCGTTGGGGGTGAGTTGTTTCAGGCGTTACTGCTGCTCTGCACCAAGGCACTGCCTGTGCAATTCCAACTTCCTTCTTACAAAAATGGCACTGAAAATCTTATTGATACACTGAGAAAAACCCGACAGATGTAGCTGTAGGTATCGGTCTGCGCACACACACATTTGTATAGCTCTTGGATTAATCTGTCTGTGCATCTTGCCTTGTTTCTCATGCTCATGTAGATAAGCCTTGGGGGTATGTCTACACTACCCCGCTAGTTCGAACTAGCAGGGTAGTGTAGACATACCCTTGGAGACCTTGAGAAAAATGCCTGTGAGAAAGGAGACAGAAAACTTGGGCTGTGATGTGTTTTCCATGAGGACACACTGTTGCCATTACTCATTCAGGATCATCACAGTTTTCTGTGTGTTATTTTGGCACCATGTAGAGGGGTCAGTGGGGACCCATCACCAGAGCAGTGTTCAATCCCAGAAAAGACGCAATCCTGTCCCAAAAGGGTGCACAAGGCAAAGACACAAACTGATGAACAGTGGGGATGGGGTTACAACACACACACAAAAGTATCTCATGAAGACCTGGGAGGCACTAAAATTGTGCCTGATTTCCCCATACAGAAAACATATGAATGATAACGAGGGCTCTGTCCAAGAGGGGGATACTGCTTTGGACCTCAGCTTGACAGGGAAAAAGGACTTGGTCACTGATTACTGATCTGATAATTAATGCTAATGTAGGTGCAAGTAGTCTTTTCTAAAGCTGGGTTAATGTGATGGCAGTGTAGTTGCATGGGTGCTTCCTATGGGGCCGAAACCCATTCCTGTTGGTAGAGGATGATGGGAAGAGTTCGTAGAGTGGTCGCATGACACCCTTTACTTCTGGTCATGTGTTCATCTTGACCCCGTAAGTACTGCCCCAGAGGTGGGACTTCTTGTGGCTGACAGTAGGGGTCTCGGGGGCCAGGGGCAGAGCTAGGGTTTTCAGGTGGTGTGGTTAAGATGCCAGATAATATGGTCACCATAGGTTTGAGGGTGAGTTTGAAAAGTCTGTGTGGGAGGTTTTCAGTGGAGAATTAGCCAAGCGATTTGTTTATTTTGATTTGTAACTGACCTTGCTCTGCCTGTTCTCATTTACCACCACTTAAACCCTACTGCTGGTACTTCATCAAATCACTTGTATTTTCTATCAAACCCAGTGCTAGTGATTGTTACCTGGGGGCAACCAGTGTGCACATTCCTCCTATTATTGCTAAAGGGGTTTGCCTAATTCTTTGGTGGTTGATCCCATCTGGGGAGTGATATCCTGGGAGGCTGGGCCCTAAACTGCCTTCTCCTTGGACCTGGAGAGGTTCAATGTCCATACTGCTTCTTGGTGCTGGCAGGGACCTCAGCTCAGGGCCTGGGCTAGGGGAGACCAGGGAGCTGGCCCAGCAGAACCGGGCGGTGAAGAGCCCCAGAGAGCGGGAAGGCGAGTGGCAGTGGCCATGTCAGCGCCCTGGGAGGCACCCCGAGGGGTTGTCTGTGACCGCACCCCGTCCCATACACCCTTGTCTTTCAAATCTCTTACCCAGTTTGGGGAGTTTTTTTAAAGACAATATTGTACTTTTTACTCCACTGCTGGTCGGGGGAAGACTGGCTTTTGGGGATACCAGGAATTTCCCAGTGGACCATCCTCCGAAGGGCCGGCTGGCAGCTGCTGGAGGAGGAGAGGGATTGTGATGAGGCGCCGCAGCCCCCGCACTTTACATTCCCCGGTGCCGTGCACCAGCCATGTACAAGGCAGAGATCACGGACCTTATTGAGGTTTGGAGGGAGGCCTCCAATGCCCACGATCTCTGCACTCGCCCCCAAACCCCGCACGCTCTCTTTATTAGCCACAGGAACGCAGCTGTCTACAGCCGCGTGGCTGCCAGCGTTGGCACCAGAGACCACATGCGGACCCAGGAGCAGGTCTGCTGCAAAATAAAAGACCCGCGGCAGGCCTACTCCAGGGCCTCCCAACCATGGGACAACCTGGACTCCAGCCCTCATTACGAATCCCAGGACCACATCCTGGGAGCTCACACAGTCTGTGCCCCCCAGGTGGTGATCGACCCTGGGGCAGGGGGCCCCGTCCCTGAAACAGGGTGTGACAGACCGGGCCAAGTCTGGGCACAGCTGAGGGCGTCCGCTCAGGGCGAATTGCTCGAATCCGGGGTTCTCTCTAGCCCCCAGACTGGTGACCTTCCCAACTAGGCCACAACCAGTCTCACAGAGCGCTTCAGCTGCCTGCCTGAAGCCTCCCGAGCAAAACCCCTCCGACACCCCAGCAAAATCCGTGCCCCAGATGACCCCGGGCCTCATACACTGGTGGGGGGGTCTTAGCACCCAATCCCACCTACCCCCAACAAGTTCTGTCCGGTTCCAAGAAACCAGCCTCAGATCCCGGCCAATTTACTCTCTGGATCTTACCCAAAAATCACGTTGAGACAATCCCACTCTTGAATCTATGATCTAAAGGTTTATTACCACAATAAAGAAAAGCATGAGAGTAAGGTTGTTAAAGAATAGTACATTACATGCACCGAATCTCCCAGTTCTCGATGCAGGCTCTAGCAGAGATGTTACAGCTGCTGGCTTAAAAGTCCTTGTTGCACATCCTAGGTCAGGATGGGTCCACAGTTTTCCAGCTCTTCGATCCCTGCACTGCTGCCTCTGGGATGAAGTGCTGAGCTGAGTACCAAGATGGAGTTCACCACATGGCCTGTTTATCCCTCCTGCTCTCTTCTTGGCTATAGCAGGTCACCTGGCCCATGGCCTATCCCCGTGTTCCCTGCTGGTAGCCCCTAGGTATGAGTCACCACTCTTGAGGTGTGTCCTTGACCTATAGAGGGCTATTGTTCCAGAGCTTTGCTCATTAGCATGTCCATAGGCTGAGCTGCTTTGCCCATAGTTCAACCACATATAGAGATACATTTGGTATCCACACAAAGTCCATGCTTATAACTTCACATACCGACATTACACAATCACATGAGTAGCATATATGGAATCAGAAGAAAGTGGGCTTCTATTGGACACCTCACATGGCCCCCTTTGCGCCACTTTTGGGGCCAACACCTCCCCATGGGTGCAGCAGTGATCTGGCTGCTCCCCTCAAAATCCAGTAACATGACACCCCCAACGCAAAAATTGATGCAGGAAGTGATGGCAGTAACATCACTGAGGGCATCACAGGCCTCCCCATGCTTTGGCTCTGGGTTATCACATGTTCTATCCCAATGGCAGAAACAACAGTACAGAGCTGGATGAGAGTATGAGAACCCAGTGAGCCTGAAATAGGCTTCATTACTGCAAAGTCTGTCCTGGTCACAGCCATGTCCTTGCACCGTTTCACCAACCCAAGATAGAATGTGGTAAAAACCACGGCTACTTGGATCTGCTTCTGCAGCATCATCCCTAACTGTATCAGGTGATTTTGCCCCAAGCTGAAGAAAACAATGAATTTTTCCAGGCCAGCTCTGGCAACTCTCTGA